AATAATTATCGAAATGAACATAAAATTAAATAATCGACGAGGGCTTACGTCAGTATCTGCATGTATCCGTTTTCGATTTGCTCGCCGTCCATGAAATACTCCTCCTCCCCAATCTGAATCTGCATGCATGCAGAAAAAAACACAACATACGTATCTACAAAATCGAACTCGCTAAGAAATTAAATAAAAAACCCTAAAACGTAAAATACGAATTAATCGAAGAGAAAATTAATCGCATATTGCAGCTTACGTATTTGAAGCCCAAGTTCGAACCACAACTGACGCAGTAGATATCAGCCACCGTGTGCGGACCCACTTGCCGGTAGCGAATCGGTTCTTCAACTTCGAAATTCACACTGCAAATTAAATTAAATTTCATTAAAAGTACATTAAAAAAAGAATCATTAAAAATCATAAATATTACAATTAATAAATTTTGATCTTACACTTTAAGGAAGACAGCATAATAATTTCCAGCCTCATCCTGCAGAAACGATGCACAAAGAATTCCCATCGATTTACAAGAAACGATATATCAATATATTCCATTACAGAAATTAAATATCAGAAAATATTTTAATTAAATTAGATTAAAAGATGATTAAATAAATAAATTAAATTACTTGAAATTCAGGAAGAAGTAGGTCTTGAGGTAAAGCAATGTAGGCTTTTCTGCATGCCCTGCATACGTACGAGCGATCAGGGTATACCTGATTGAAATATACCAGAAATGCCCTTCCCATTTTTTTTTTTTTTTTTTTTTTTTTGCAGATCTTTAATTTTTCCAGGAGAATGTATGTATATATAATGTGGGAGAAGAAGATATAATATAGACGTTATAAAATTATAATTAGTTCATATATTAACTGTCATAACTGCCGCCGCCATATATCTGAGATGAATTTTGTGAATGAGTATATATTGCCTAGCTATCATTTTTGGATGTGATTCAAGAAAGTATAATATATAATATTTAATAATATATATCTTATATATAAAAAAAAGAAACGCTGGACAACCCAAAAAAATTCTAATGATATTTCCGTAATTAGTTATCTTTAATATTTTTTCTCTACTAATTTTAAAAGAATCCTACCTTATTGCTACTTATGTAATTATTTATTTTTAATATTTTTTGTACTAATATTTTAACTTAATTTTCAACAATTACTGGTCTCCTAAATTTCATCAATATATCTTAAATCTGAAGAGATAAAACTAGAAATTCAATATGAATAATACTATATTATTAAATTTTACTATATTAGTATACTATATTTTCTTAGTATATATTAAATTGATTTTTTTTTCACTATTTAAATAATATCTCGTGCATCGCACATTGGAAAATGCTGGTTATATATAATACTACATTTTTAATCCATTAAATTAAAGCCCACTCAATTTGTTTTCATATACTATTTATTCTTAAGTTATCATTTATGTTTATGAAAAGATAAATCTTAGGGAGGTTCAAACTATATTCTAGATATAGTATGTTTTATTTAATTTATAATATTTTTATTAGAATTTACAATTTTTTTTAATATATTGTGCTATTTTATATGAAATACACTTAAAAAAATTGGGGCAACTTTTTTGATGCAGTATGCTTTAACTTATGATATTTTAATTAAAATTTACAATTTTTTGGAACATATATTGTGCTACTATTATGTAATTTATGTCACATAAAATAGTGATTTTTTATTTAAACAAAAATAAACTTAAGCTAAATATATAGTAAGTACCAATGTGTTAATATGCGCCCGCGAGCAGCCGAACGCTCTCCCTTCCCTTCACCCATTTATAAATTTGCTGACGCCTACTGCTAACATGCGCAGTGGACACCAAGGCGCACCCAGCACCCACGCGCGTTAGATTTCCCTAAAGTACACACTTCACAGAAAGTGCGCACGATAGAAACTACGTACGGTGCGCCTCTCCCCTCTCTCTCTCTCTGCAAACCAATGATGATTTTTATTTAACACAGATCTGTGAGCAATCTAATTTTAAAACAATCATAGAGAGAGAAAGAGCGGAGAACGGATTTGAGGAGAGAGAGAGAGAGAGAGAGAGAGAGACGGGTTGAGGAGAGAGACGAAACCACCGGCGAGGGTCAATGGCTGCACCACCGGCGAGGGCGCGAGCAGATTATGATTACCTCATCAAGCTTCTCCTCATCGGCGACAGCGGTCAGTCATCATTCTATCTTCGTATTCATTCCCCCTTATTTTTTTTTGGATTTACCTGCTTGATTTTTTATGGATGTTCCTATTCGCTTCTTAATTGATTGTTTGAAGCTAGGTTTTTGTCTAAATTGAAGTGGTTTTGTTCGGATCTGTAGCTTCCTCATCGTACTTTTTTCGATTAAATTCATTTTATGGCATTTGATTCGAGCTGTATAAACAAATATCGATTCCCGGCAGTGATACATTACAATTTTTTTTTAATGATTGATCTATAATGTCAATTTGTTGCTTCTGGTAATTCTCTGATTTGAGCAATTAGGTTCTGGAGTTTGTAGTATAAAATTATCTCCTGCTACAGTAGGCTGGCAATGTATCGACAAATCTAAATTATTAAGCCGTCTTGCTCCGAATCTCATGCTTGTTTTATGGTGGTTCGTTCTTTTGGATAAAATGAATTGTGAATTGTTAATTGTCGTACTCTTAACCACTGCGTAGAAACTTCTAGTTCTTTCTTTTTAATGTAAGCATTTTTTATTTGGCACATATGTAGCAAGAGATGTATCTATATTTTCGTGTGTGAGTTAATGGGCATAGTGACAATTGAACATGGACCAAAGATAGTTCCTTCTTGTTTTCCTTTACCCGTTTATTCTCTGTTCCTCCAGGTGTGGGTAAGAGTTGCCTTCTTTTGCGATTCTCTGATGGTTCCTTCACAACTAGTTTCATTACCACAATCGGGTGAGTGGAGTTATATATTGCAGAATGCCGTTATTTAGCTTAACTGTTTGGTTGGTGCACTGATTGTTGGTATAAATTTACTCTGTAGAATTGATTTTAAGATAAGAACCGTTGAACTTGATGGTAAACGGATCAAGCTCCAAATCTGGGATACTGCTGGTCAAGAACGATTCAGAACAATCACTACTGGTAAGTTCTTATTTTCATTTTTCCCGTAGGAGTGTAGTTGAGTTAATTATGCTTTCTTGTGTTTTAGGGAAATGTAAGACATGAATATGAAGCTCTGGTTTTCATGTTGGATTGATTAGAGTAACAACTTTCACCGTGCTCTATACTTTTAATCTTTCAGAATAATGTATTAAAGTGGGTTTTCACTGTTTAGTAAACTTTACGAATCAGTAGTGCTCGTCTTTCTCTCTTTTTTCCAATACTGTCGAATGCTTTACTGAAATATGTCTATTTACGAATCCCATTTAACACATAAATAACACTGAAATGTCAATTATATAATTCTCTTACTCAAAAATTCTCCAGCTTACTATCGTGGAGCCATGGGTATATTGCTGGTCTATGATGTCACGGATGAATCTTCCTTTAACAGTAAGGTTTCTTCTCTTAGCTTTATTTTCTGATTGTTTGGCATGTATTTCTTCCTTTCTGTAACTATAGATAACACAGTAAACTACCTCTCGTTCTCTCCCTGTTCTGCCCTTTTTTTCTTATGAAATTGAATTAGATAAATAAGTCTGTAACTTCTCAGTTCTATAAATGGAGTCATACATCTTTTCTCTCCCGACCTAAATTATGCTTATCAAGAACTGGTCAATGGTTCTCGTTAGAAAAAAAGTTTTTACCTCAAATCTTTGAATTATTCCTCTAAAACAAATGTTTTCAAGTCATATAAAATCACAGGGAGTGCATTATCTTGCTGAAGATCTTGCATTTTCTGATACACGTACGGGAGGGGGAAACAAAATACAAAAAAATTAAAGAAATAGGAGTCCAGAAAAGAAGGAAGAATTAGATGATTGTGGTAAAATAAAGAGAATTATTTTAAGAACTACAGGGAGAATAATTTCTTTTATACTTCATTTCTTGTACTTAGTCACTTACAACCTTACAGTCTCTATGTATTACATACTATTATAATTGAATAATCACGAGACTAATGGAATGTTAAACATGGGGATAGATACACATTAGAGTTAAATCACGAGACTGATGATGTGATTAAAACAATGGAGATGATTTTTTTTTGGGGGGGGGGGGGGGGGGGATGATGGGGATATGTTGAGACTATGCAGCTCAAGATGAATGGGCATCCATTTAACAATATTCACTCTTTATATATGCTTTCTTCTATTTTTCATTTTGGCTATTCGATTCCTGAACAACACCGTGTACTTGTGGAATTGAGCATGGTGATGGTTTATTTGTTGTTTGTATCACTGTTAAAAAGTCATACTACTCTCTATCCAGATATTAGGAACTGGATTAGAAACATCGAACAGCATGCTTCTGACAATGTGAACAAGATATTGGTAGGGAACAAAGCTGACATGGACGAAAGCAAAAGGGTATATTCCTTTTCTTAAATTTAATTTTCGCATTAATCTTGGTTATGCTTAAATTCTGTTTTTTTTTTACGACTTAGGGTTAGCTTGTCATTGATATTGAAACAACAGATCCAATTAGTAAGAAATATTGATTCCAAATACTCTTATGCAACTCACTTTAATCGTTTCCAATTGCTCAGGCTGTTCCTACCTCCAAGGGTCAAGCTCTAGCGGATGAATACGGGATCAAATTCTTTGAAACTGTGAGTTTTTTCGTAATTTCTATAGAAAAGAACAGTCGATGTGTACATGCAAACTGAACATGCATATTTGCCTGCAGAGTGCTAAAACCAATCTTAATGTGGAAGAGGTTTTCTTTTCGATAGCTAAGGATATTAAACAAAGGCTCTCAGACTCCGATACCAGAACAGAAGTAAATTAATTACCCGATTTCATTTTTTCAGATGGTTATAACTTTATTCAATACCCTTAATTAAATACTTATTTTTTTTGTTTTGTCTAAATTTTAGCCATCGACGATTAAGATTAATCAGCCCGATGCAACGGGTGCGGGTGGTCAACTTGCACAGAAGTCAGCTTGCTGTGGCTCTTGAGTGCATGGGAAAGATTAAAGATCAATTGCACCTTCAAGTAGGTGTGTTACAACACTCTTTGAAACGAAACAATATGGAAAAGGTATCCTGGTGATTCTGTCGGTTTTTATTTTTATTTTTATTTTTATTGTTCTAATTTGGAACTTGTTCTAGCGTGTATCATAGGTTATTATTGGAAAAGTTTGAATTGGGGCTTTTGCGTTTTGCTTTAGTTTGCGTTTCCGTTTCCCGTTTCCATTTGACCTCTAAACATCCGTCGGAGAGACTTGGTTCATATTTTACTCTGCGTATTTCAGTTCTCATTCTAAATGCATGTAACATTTCCTATCCTTGTTTTACACACATATACACGAGAACGAGGACACGATACTTCAAAAAAAATTACGACACAACGTTGGGGACACGTATAAATATTTAAAGGGGTATATTTATAAAACATGTTGGAGTTTCAGTAGAACCTCAATAAATTAACCACTTCGCTTAAATAATAGTTTTTCTTTTGTCCCGATTATGTAAAAACGTACTAAATTAATAGTTTGATAACTTAATATTTTGGTAAATTAATATAATTTTGCTAGTACGGACTATATCAATTTGTAGAGGTTTATGTGTAATTTGAATAAAAAAAATTGCAATAAAACATGTTGAGCTAAATATTAATTTTTAAAATTTTCTTGTAAAAATTTTGAAAACACTCTCTCATAAATCCACGTCATCAAATGGATTGCTTTAAGTAAATTATTTTTAATCAAAATTAAAAAATGTTAAATGAAACAAATAATATGATAATAATAAATAAATAAAACCTCAAAACGTGCAGAGACAAAAAAAACAAAACAACAGAGACTGTGACACATCAGTCTCACACAAACAAATCATGAAGCGACGCCGTAACTCCACAACCCTCTCACCGTCAAACTCAATGCTGGTGCCCTACGACCACCGCCAGCTCGCGGTGGTGCCGCCCATCACCGCCGCATTCCGGCGCGGCATCCCCCGTGGCTGGGGAGTCGAAGTGGTGCCCCGCTCCGACGGCTCCCGCTCCGACACGGTCGATCAAATTTTCAATTTCTTATTTCTTCTGCAACACGAACAAATTGTCAATTATCTGCTGTCAATTACGCTGATTTAGATGTTTTTTTTTTGATGGATTAAATGCGCAGTATTATTACGAACCAGGGACTGGAAAAAAATTCAAATCAATTGTGGCGATTCACAGATATCTGAAAGGGGCTGATTCTCCTCGTAGATCCCCCAGGAATCATAATCAAGTTAGTCTTTTTTCTTTTTCTTTTTTTTTATTTTAAATATCATTATTATTATTATTTTATTATTTTTTGCAATTTTTAATTGTTGATTTAGCATTTATAAACTGATATTATTGCAGAATTCTGGGTGTAGAAGACTGCCTCCTCCTCCTATTCAGAAGGTAAAGACAATGTGAAATATAAAAATTATTGTGGGAGAGTGAAGATTTATGAAATTTAGGACAACATTTGTTATCGGTTAATTCGGTTAATTTTCGATTAATTTAACTCACTCGATAATTATGTTTCTGCAGAATAGTAAGTGTAGAGGGATCGTTGCTTCTGCTGGAAAGGTAACGTAATCCTTTATAAGATGTTGCATGGAATTACGAACTCGAGTTTTCGATGTCGGAATTCATTCTTCTAAATTTTAGTACAAGTTCATTTCGCTCTCTTTATTTCTTCCTTCTTTACTTTTCATCTTAATTTTTGTCGACTATGTATCGTATGTACTGTAATTGATAATTCGTATTATTAACGCAAACGGCACCACAGTTGATGAGACTGAAGGACGAACCAAGCGAGAGTAATTTAGCCATTGTAGCTTTTGAGAAACCTACTCCCATAGAACCATTTATTCTTCCCGATGGTTGGATTGTTAAGGAGGTGCGCCGTAAATATGATAATAATTGGAAAGACAAGGTAATATTTATTTACATATTTAATTTCTCATTCTTTTACAACTTCTTCGAGTTTAATATCTCTTCGAAAAGAAAGTATTTTTCTTCTTTACATATTATATAGCTATATATATAATATTAGCAAACAAATTCCTATGTTACATTTTTCGTAACACACTAACCCCCTAAACGGCACGTTATCAGGGAGTAGTTTGCTAATAAAATTGAATCATAGGGGGAATTTTGCAAATATTTGTAACAGGGGGAGTTTTGTAACAATTAGAGTAAATACAGGGGTGCAAATTGCAATAGACCGAAAAATAAGAAACAGAAAGGAAGCAATTTTCGATATGTTAGTGATATACTTTTTTTAATTACACTTTGTTGCACAGTATTACTACGAACCTGGAACAGGAAAAAAGTTCCGATCACTGGTGGCAGTTGAGCGGCACTTGGCAGAATTAGAAGAAAATTCCCCATTATCAAAAGCTCTAGAAAAAATCAAGGAAAATCGACCCCTCTCAAAAGTTTTCAAACTCGAAAATCACTCTAAGGTAAACCATCAACAAATTTTCTTTACATTTCAGACACAACACGACCCTCGTTTTCTTTTCTTTTTTTCTAATTGTGTAATTTCGGGCTTGTTAGAAATCTAGTCCGATGAAGAAAGACGTATCTGAAGAGAATAAAGAAGCTTCGGCTTTTACGGGCCCACCGATGAGTGTTAATTGGGTACTCGCTAGTCCACAGGGAGATATATGGAACCCTTTCATATCCGATATGTTTGTTTCAGACACCGTTAAGCAGCAATGGAATAATCGGTTCATGCTTTTCATGAATGACGAAATCAATGATCGGAAAACGGAAGCACACAGGTAAACGGGGTTCGATTTTTTATCTTAATTTTTATTTTAATTCCTAATTATATATTAAGTCGAATCTTTTGTATGTATTGTGCAGTGTCTGAAGGGCCTCCCTCCTAAGTTTGCAGCCCCCATGTAAATATCCAAACCTTAATTGGTGTAAGGAATGTGTATGTATCTCCAGAACTAAAAGCTAGTTTGTAATGATTTTGCTGTGTGAAAACAGTGTGGCATTTCTGACCATTAATTAAGCATGGCATATTGTGAAAAATGGGGTTTATTTACATTCAGCACCTCTATGTTTACTCGACTTGTTAAAACTGTCCTCGTGTCATTAATATTAGCAAAAATCTCCCTATAATATATTTGTTTTAGCAAACTACCCCTAAAACTTCACCATTATAAGGTTTTGTTCGCTAATATTAATATATCTCTTAGTTTGGTCACAAAATATACCTCAATCTCTTCTGACTCGATCGTCGCAGTGCTAACTTCGGCCTGAGTCCGGATACTTTCGTCTTAGCAGCTAGCGAGTCAAAGTCGAGTCAAAGTCCTCACTCCCGCCATAAACTGCGACAGAGAGCAATATTTTGCAGACGGAAACACAATAAAAAACCCTTTCGCCGGTTCTATTATGAAATAAACTCATCATTTACATTTAAAAAAAAAAAAACATTTTACAATAACATATGAAATAATATAATTAATATTTATTGAATCCCATTTCAAAATATTGAAGCGCGCGTACAAAATCTTTTCAAATAAGGTACAGCTGTGGTCCTGCGGAAGCAGTTATGACAGTTATATACATACATACATATACTGATATACATATAACCAATATATCAATCTTTCCTGTACGTATACTAATACTTGAACTCACCCCATATACATATATATATATATATATATATATATATATATATATATATATATATATATATATATATATATATATATATATATATATATATATATATATATATGTAGAGAGAGAGAGAGAGAGAGAGAGAGAGAGAGAGAGAGAGGGAGAGAGAGAGAGAATCATCTGATTATTCGTTTGAAGAACAATTGAAGAACATCTGCATAGAGAAAAGATCGATCGCCAGAAATGGGTCGGGTTTTTTTGGAGGATTACGGGAAAGGTGATGGATATGAAACACAATACTTCATGTGCAACAAATGCCGCACCTATATTGCATTACCCGAACACCAATTCCTTCTTCCACGAGTACGTAATTTTTCTTCCTTCACACACACACAAAGCGTATACTTGATTCTTGATTATTTGGATCAAGAAACCAAAATCTGTCTTTTTATTTGCTCCTCTGATCTTCGTTTTACTCGATGGATCTGCAGGCTCAACAGCATGTTCGCATCTTCAGTAAAGTGTAAGATTTAAATTAAACACTGCAAATTAAAATTCATCACGATTATAAATATTCTGTTTCGAAAAGATTCTTCCTCTGAATAAATGAAAATATCGTGATTTTTTTCGTGTATATGCAGTGCGAATGTGGAGGTTGACGAACCTGCTCGATACTACAAATATGGTTCGCACACGATTGCTGATATCTACTGCGTCAAATGTGGCAATAAACTGGGCTACAAATACGTAAGCCAATATTATACGCAACATTCTTTCACTATTTTCGTATTTATTTATCTATATATATAAAAACTTTCTGCAGATTGAGGTTGGTAAGAACAAGCGGTTTATTCTCCGAAATGGATATGTGAACTTGATGATGTAAGTAAACCCCTTATGGAAATTAAAAACTATATATATATATATACTATTGAATTTTTCGGGATTTTGTTATAACAATGTCGATTTCGTTATAAGTAACTCATTTTTGGGAAGTTTCCGGTAACAAACAGGGTAAATTTCTGGAGGAAGTGTGCTGACCTCACTGTAGATGCGGTGACAATGCAATCGATTGACTCGTGATCCGTAATTCTACGTTTTCTGATTTCATGCATGCAGGCTAATATTTAGCTGAAGTTTATAATAATATTTTCGATTTTTTTTTCGGTAATGAATTTTGACTTGTATTCTGCGTTATCCGATTCTTCGCGGACTAAAACTTAGCTTACATATTGTTGAAGTTGCTATAGTTCTTGGAAATTTAGCTGAAGTTGATATAATGTTTTCGATTTTTGTCGGTACTGAATTTCGACTCGTATTCTGCGTTATCCGATTCTTTGCAGATTAAAACTTAGCTTACATTTTGTTGAGGTTATTTTTTTTTTTTTTCCTTTTTTTTTTCCAGTTGAGAAATGTTATGTCGATAACAGTTTAGATGCACTAAGGCTCGTTCGGTTGGGAAAATTAGCCATGATTACCTAAATAAATGGACGTTGTTTGATAATTGGTAAACCCAATAATATTTCTGGGTCGACCCGGAAATATTATTTTATCATGACTATCTTTGCCCTTTTAGGGAGATTATTTAATCTGATCGTTTGTTAATCTAATCTTATGAACCAAACGAGCCCTTAGATACTCGGAAAACATATTAAACCGGAAGAATTACCGAATTGCATCTTCATAGCAGCCACAGAGGCATAAACACTAATAAATTACATCAGCTATTTGAAATTAAAAGTAAAATTATAGCAGAAAAATACAAAATCTTTAAACTCAAATGATTGTTTTTTACCATTGACCAAATATTTGATAAATTTATATTGGGTCCCTCGATCTGGTATTATTTACACATAGACCCTTTATATTTTAAAAAATATTATCGAAACATCCCTTAAAAGTTTGGTTTTGGCCAAAACAAAACCAATCTAAATTCCATATTTAATTATATAAATGTGAATAAATATTATAAAGGAAGAGTACTCTAATATCAATATCATAATTAAATATCAACAGCAAGCAGTTAGATAATGGAAAAATGTAATTAATCCATTATTAGTGTTGATGGGTCTAATTAGCTAATAATTATTATTTATAGCCTAATGACAAATGTGCGAATTCGGGCCCAAATCCAAGATTAAAGCCCAATTGTAGGCCTTCAACCCATAAGTAATTAAACTGATCTTAATTATAAGGCCTTCAATTAATATAATGATATACATATTAGGGCTAATTAATACTCCCTCTGTCCCATATTATATGTCTTTTTAGAGAGTTTTTCTTGTCCCAAATTATTTATCATTTTAGATTTTCAATGCATCATTAATTGCACTATTTTCAATTTTACCCTTTATAACTCCTAATTAGTTAGTTGTAAAACAATTAATGTCAAGGATATATTAGTATTTTCCTATGCTTTTTACTATAATCTATACACATTTATTGATTTTCTTAATATGTGTGAAACAACCCAAAACGTCATTTAAATTGGGACGGAGGGAGTAATAACTTGCATGGAGATTAGAACGAGGGTAAAATTGGTAGAAAGAAATGTTAATTATATATTTTAAAAATATTTACAAGAAGCGCGTGTACTGGTTTAACAAAGAAAGGCATACCTGTTGAGGCAGTTATGACAGTTATTATGAACTGATATCCAGATTCTCTTCTCCCTCCTATACATACATACACTATAGATACCTAACACATGTATATATACATACATATATGAGCTCTCCCATTATCATAAACCCTTTATTTGTTTCTCCCTGAATTCCTTTCTTCTGGATTTCCACAGTAAAATAATCATCTCGTTCTTGAAGAATCGGAATTCTCGTCGGAAAAATCTCTGCAGAAATGGGAAGGCTGTTTGTGATGGAACACATAGGGAATGATGCTTACTTCTATTGCATCAGGTGCAACACTTACATTGCCAAGCAACGACACCAATACGAACTCCCACAGGTAAATTTCTTCACTTTTTGCCGTCTCTGCAAGATTTGTTCGATCAAACTTGTGTTCTCGAAGTAATCCTTTCAGTCTCGTTGAGTGATTGTTTCTTCTTCGTAAATTTCTTCATCCCTGAATATTCATATGGCATGAAAAAAGTGTTTGTTGGTAATTGAGAATAGCATGAGGTATATCGTTACACCATGAAATTCATAGAGAAAAAAAGTGGTTATTTTGATCAAGAAACAACGTACGTCGGTCTATACTAATCTGTCAATTATGCATGGAGCAGTATAGATTGTTTCTTCATAAAATTCTTGATCCCTGAATATTCATACGGAAAAACTGTTGCTCGGTACTACACACACACACACACACACACAAAGGTGTTTGTTGGTAATTGAGAAGTTATAGCATGAGATATATCATTACACCATGAAATTCATAGGGGAGAAACTGTTATTTTGATCAAGAAAAAACATATGTTGCAGTACAGATTGGTTCTTTTTCATAAACTTCTTGATCCCTGAATATTCATATCGAAAAACTGTTATTCTGTATACAAAAACGAAAAAAAGTGTTTGTTGGTAATCGAGAAGTTATACCATGAGATATATCATCACACGATGAAATTCATAGGGGAAAAACTGTTATTTTGATCAAGAAACAAGATATGTTGGTCTATCGTTAGGCTAATCTGTCAAATATGTACGAAGCAGTACAGATAGATGCCTTACCAAAATGATATCCGGTGACTTTTTCTTTGCCTTTTTTTTTCTTCGTATTTGAATGCAGGGTGAGGCTGAACCATATGTTAGTGGCTTCACAGAAGTGTAAGATCTAAACTCTGCAAATTCATCATAATTACATTCTGCAATATCACACGATAAATCAGTACAAAAAAGATGCTTCCTGTGAACGAATTGAAATATTTAACAAAAATTAAATTGAACCAGAAAACTAAATATAAACATCATTTTTATTTTTTTTATTTTTTTGTACATGTAGTGTGAATGTGCGAGTCGGAGAAGCTAGTACTACTACGAAGTTGGTTCTCACACATTTGCTGATATCTACTGCATCCAATGTGGTCATAAATTGGGCTGCCAACACGTAAGACAATACCAAAACAATTTTCTCTCTCTCTCTCTTTTTTTTAAGGATTTTATTTTACTACTGTCGTCTTTATAGATAGCATGCTTAAATGGTGCTGCACTGCATTCTACAGATTAAAGTTCGTGGTTGGGACGATCCCGAAGATGGACATGTGAAACTAAGGATGTAAGCCCCTTGTGAAAAAATTACAATAATTAATTCTATGCCTAGTTTAACACTGTCAATTTCCTTATAACTAATTATTTTTTTATTTTTCTGGGAAACTCACAAACAGGCAGAATCTCGGAATCAGGCCACAAGTGCCTCAGGAACCATAAATGCTGGCTGTGTGCAACAAATCATCGGAACTTAGCTGAAGTTGATAATGTTTTTTTTTTTTGAGTACTGAATTTCGACTTCTAATTCTGCATTATCTGATTCTTGCAGACCTAAAATTTAGCTCACGTATTGTTGAGGCTTACAAATGAAATGTTATGTTCGTGACGGTTTAGATGTACCCTTTTATCTTCTTAGATACTCGATGACCTTTTAAGATTCTTGGGCAAACAAGTTTCAATATATCATACTTGGAATAAGTGTGAGGTTCCCCCGTTATCTGAATTAGCATTTATTCTTCTTAATTTCATTACTATATATATTGACATTTACCAAGTCTGGTTGGTATGACCACCTACTGATCGTAAGTCGAAACGGATGTTTTAAGCAGATTCCTTCTCTCTAAATTCACTGTTCACTTCTATCAGTGAAGTTTGCGTCGATCTTTTTATAACGTGGATAAAAAATGTGAAGGAAGATATGCAACATATTTTCAATACTAGTTACCGATAGTTGACACTTGATTATCGTCTAATTTCTGCAGTCATATGCATGTATGCAACATATGCTAGTTTTCATATAAATTGTTCGTACTTTTCATTTTAGAAATGATTCCTTACAAAGTATTTTAGAGTATGCTATAAGTGCCTAAAGCTAGCATGATAAAATAATTTAATGGTAAGTATCAAGGTATTTTTACGTCATCTCACATCAGAGTTAGACCAACGAGGAACTTTGAAACACGATAAGGAGTGATTGCTATGCAACAAAACAATTAGAGAAGATGCAGGTATATATAGCCCCATCTCAGTCCTATCTTGACAACGAAACAATCGCAATCGAGAAATGTAGTAAAGTTTAGTTTACAGTCTACAAATTGAAAATTAGTTTACAAAAGTATCACGTTTCAAAAAAGGAACTACGAAACGGGCAACTCGATCATCGGTTAAAAAAAGAGCAAATACCGAGACATTACATAATGCAGGAAGCTAGTTATACTTGTACAATGGGCATGAATTTTCCAGACGAACGGAGAATTATTAAATTGCAACTCAAAGGCACTAAATCATATACCAAAAGGAACTCCAATCAGCTACACTTATTACCTACAGTCTACATTCCTCATCAATTTCATTTTTCTTTTTTTAAGAATTTAAATTATTATTTGCAAAATGAAAACCTATGCAGTAAGGTATAGCTAATTTGAGGTTCAGAAAATATTTCCACAAGCACAGAAGTCCTATACACAGGAGCAACCAAACCCTAAAACGCCCATTAATCAAACAAAAGTATATCAGAAATTAGAAATACTCGAGCGCAATTGATTATCAGATCAGATGAAGGAATTGGTTACCTGAAGAAATTGGCGACCGCCGTCCGCCGCCACGGGTGGTGGTTGTTCGTGTTCAGCGATTTGTTGGGTTCTCCGGTGAACGTTGGCATGTAATAATCTCATCATTTAAAAATTTAGAGTAAAAACAATTTATTAAGAGTTAATTGCACTTGACACCCATATGTTGTAACAAATTGCTTAAACGCCTATCAATTATTAATATTAGCATGAACCGCACACGTGGAGAAAATATAAACCCATTTCTTTGTTTGGGTTTTTCTCGGGAGTTTTTCAATTTTTAAATTGGGACCTTTTTTACCATTTTCAGTTAGGATAAATTACGGTCAAACCCCTGAGGTAAGGTCAATTTACTGAAAAAAAATCTCTCTTGTTTGGGTAATTACATCTACTCATAAACTATGTTTTTTTTAGGGAAAATGGCAAAAAGGCCCATCACATGGGACTTAAATGCATTTTAGTCCACAAAAAAAACAGTCTCTCAATTAAGCCCATTCCCATGTCTTTAGTCTAAAATACCCTCAATAATATAATTTTTAACAATTCCACCCATTATGCTCTAACTTTCTTAATATTACACATTGACCCCGGATTTAAACAAATATATCACATTAACCCCCAAAACTTTTTTTTTTCAGAAAATAATTTTTTTTCTGAAATGTTTTTTTTCCGGCCAGATTCCGGCACTGACCGCCGGTCTCCGGCGTTGAATTTTTTTTTTTTTTTTTTTTTTTTTTTGAAATTTTTTTTTCCTGAATTTTTTTTTCCGGCCGGTCAACCACCGTTGACCGCCGGTCTCCGGCGTTGACTTTTTTTTTTTTGTTTTTTTTTTGAATTGTTTTTTCTTAGAAAAAAAATATTTTAATTAATATTACTGTCTTGACTACTAAATTACTGTCTCAGACAGTAATATTACTGTTTGGGACAGTAATATTATGAATATTATTTTTCCGAACAGTAATATTATTAATATTATTTTCTAAGACAGTTAAATTACTGTTGGAGACAGTAATTTAACATCCAAGACAGTAAATATAATTAAAATAAATTTTTTTGTAAGGAAAAAAATAAAAAAATAAAAAAAAAAAAGTAAATTAACAGTTAAATTACTGTCTCCGACAGTTAAATAACTACTGGAGACAGTAATTTAGCAACGAATACAGTAATATTAATTAAAAATATTTTTTTTAAGAATAAAAAAGTCAATTAACAGTTAAATTACTGTCTCCGACAGTTAAATAACTGCTGGAGACAGTAATTTAGCAACGAATACAGTAATATTAATTAAAAATATTTTTTTTAAGAATAAAAAAGTCAATTAACAGTTAAATTACTGTCTCCGACAGTTAAATAACTGCTGGAGACAGTAATTTAGCAACGAATACAGTAATATTAATTAAAATATTTTTGAAGAAAAAAAAAAAAAACAGTCAATTAGTAGTTAAATTACTGTCTCCGACAGTTAAATAGCTGCCGGAGACAGTAATTTAGCAGCCAAGACAGTAAAATTAATTAAAATATTTTTTTTAAGAAAAAACAAAATTATTAAAAAAAAAAAAAAGTCAACGCCGGAGACCCAGCGGTCAACGGCCGTTGACCGGCCGGAAAAAAATTTCAGGAAAACAAAAATTCAAAAAAAAAAAAACAAAAAAAAGTTAACGCCGGAATCTGGCCGGAAAAAAAAAATATTTCAGAAAAAATATTTATTTTCTGAAAAAGAAAAAGTTTTGGGGGTTAATGTGATATATTTGTTTAAATCCGGGGTCAATGTGTAATATTTAAGAAGTTAGAGCATAATGGGTGGAATTGATAAGAGTTAGGGTTAAAATTGGGGTCAAAATTGAAATTATGGTTAAAATTGGTTAATTGATGAAATTGGGCTAAATTGGGGTGTAAATCATGAAATTGGAGTTGAATTGGGTTTCAATGAATTTGGGGTAATTTTGGTATATATAAAAGGATTTTCCTTATTTGCACATAAGTTTGAATGGGGTGGATTTATTTGAAAGACAAAAAAATTGAATGTCTCTCTTTTAATTAAGTGCCCTTGTCATGGGCTTTTTTGTGATTACCCTTTTTTTTTATGAAAAAACCCCTCCTGTAAATTTAATATGCGCTCAACCACTCAAAATAAAATATAATATTTTTCTAGCGATCAGGTTCCTTTTCTATTAGGAGTCCTTTTTAGGATTTTGAGTTATATTAGAAGAATTAGTATTCAACTTTTTTACGATGATTTTTGGTATTTTCCTATAGCACAGACCCCATGTGTAATCTCTAATTATTGAAAAAAAAAAACCTACATTAAATAAATTAGTAATAAAAAATTGGTTTTAACTTAAATAAAATGACAAAATTACTTAAAAATATTTCAATTTAAAATAAACAAAATGATTTTTTTTATATTTAATACAAAAGAAAATATTATGAAACTTTTATTTTGGTTCTTACAAAATTATGGGGTCGAATTTATAATTTTCTAAATTTATGTTTTGAAAGGGTATTTTGGTCTTTTCAGATCAAAAAACATACCCCCAAGTTGCGGAATCCGCACGTTCAACACACATTCAGCTCGTAGGAGTCATATTGGCTTTGACTAATTTTTATAGGGGATTTTTTGCTAATATTTTTAACACAAATACTTTTTTAGCAATTAGAAATTACATGGGTGATTCATGCAAAAATCCATATATATATATGATATATCCTTGATAAATTTTCTTCTTGGTCCAGCCAAAGTGCTAACCTTAGCAAATCTGTCATTCACTTCAGTAAGAATACTCAGCTCACAGGCTAGTAGAGGGGTCCTTATTTCTGCTATTGCGCAATCCATTCCTACTTACCCTATGTCTGTTTTTCTCTTGCCTAAAAATTTATGTTGATTTCAATAAAGCACTTCTTTCTAAACTTGATTGGGATATTGCTTTGTCCAAAGATAAGTTGTGGGTTAAGCTCCTTTCTGCCAAATATCTTAAAGGCAATACCTTTCTCCAATCTTCTATTACCCACCATTCTGCCTCATGGATTTGGCAGGATATTCTTAAAACCAAAAAACTTATTCTTAAAGGAGCTTGCTATTTCATCTCCAACAATTCAAAAGTTAGAATTTGGCATGATCCTTGGCAATTTGTCTATGTCCCCTCCTCTCACTCTTGTCACAAGTCTGATTGACGAGGTTACAAATTCTTGGAATTTCAATCTTTTGATTGAGCTCTTTCCAACATCTGTGGTTAAGGAAATTAAAAAGATCAATTTTTTTCCGAATTTCCAACCTAATCTTCTCTTCTGGGCTCCGTCCAAGTCAGGGAAGTTCACTACGAAGAGTTTGCGCCTTTCCCCTTTTAGAAATGAGTCTGTTAAGCATTGGCTGGCCATGATTTTGAAAAAAAATGGCCCGTTTTTCCTATCTAATTATGTGAGGGATGAGTTTATTATTTATATGGCAGTTATCTTTGATCTTATTTCGAAGAATCGAAATTCTATTGCTCATAATTCTCCATCTCATGATGTGCAGGAACTCTCAAAACTTGTCTCCTCTTCTGCTTCCTCTCATTGGAAAAGTCAACTAAAAAAGAGAGTCCGTTCGACATCTAATCCATCCCAAACATGGAAAAGACCTCCTTGTGGTTGGATTAAAATTAATACTGATTGTAGCTTCTCCAATGGCACAACCTATACCTCTGTTCTTGTTCGCAATGAGAACGGATCGATCATTTTTGCTCACTCCATGAAGCATGATTGCCAAGACCCCCTTGATGCTGAATCATTGGCCATTAAAGAAGCCTGTCAATTTGTTAACAGTGCCAAGATCGAGAATGTTATTTTCGAAGCAGACTCACTCAATGTTATGACTTTCATCAATGATCCCTCTCACAACTCTCACTGGACTGCAAAGGTTAATGTTGAAGCTATCAAGCGTTTTTGGTTTCTTTGGCCTACATGGAAGTTTAGATACTCGTCTCGTAATTCAAATTTTGCAGCTCATTATTTGGCCAAATGGGCATCAAATATTGATTGGAGGGGTGTTGTCCCTCCAAAAGATCTTCCTATTATGTGTTTTTGCGATGGTGGCTCGCCCATCATTGATGTTTGTAATTTTTCGTTCTATTGAAGTTTCTCATTTTATCGATAAAATATATATATATATATATATATATATATATATATATATATATATATATATATATATATATATATATATATATATGGGGATCGTCCCCTTTTTTTTTACTCCTTTTCTTTCTCTTTTTTTTTTGGCCCATTTAGTGCTTAAACGCCGCCGTTTCGTTCCATCGGTCCAATTAACTTTGCAGATTCTTTTCTTTTCTCTTTATTTCTCAAGCTGCTCGACCATGACATGGCTGCTTGATTTTGCCTTTTCCTCAGCATACGAAAAACAGTTCAAGTGTAAGCAGAGTACGGTTAATACGACAGCCTTCTTTTAACCTTGTGCCAGCTGATAACGATTAAGATGCTCGTTCACTTCCAGCCAAATCGACAAAATTCTGTCAATAAAATTACTCTCCGATTAGAAAACATTAAATAATGCTATACCTTTATTTTTTTGTTGTTAGATAAATTTCATACCACAACAGCTGTAAGAGTGCTCGCATTGTCCCTTCCAAAAAAGTCACGAGAACAGCTTTCAATAGTCTGCGACAAACCACATTGTTCATTAACAAAAGTTATCGAATAAATAAACAATAAATTAAATAAAATCACAATATACCAATGCAATAATTTCGTGGGATCTCGAGCTGATTTCATTAATCGACGTTTCTCCAACTTTTCTTTGAGCTGCAAGGATTAACAAAAATGATGATTTTGTACTCTTAAGCCTTGTTTGGCAATCATGATTAGGCATGATAGACAATATAATGAAGCTCTATCGAATGTTCCCAAACGAGGCCCTAAGAAATCTAACAGTCGTTTTGATTAGGAGCAATGGTTCCAAATTATCAAGAATTGAAACAACGGAGCCTATAAAAAAAATCCAACATATTAGCGTCAAAAGAACCACCCATCTATAGCAATTTGTACCAAACAATAAACTAAAAACAATAAACCAAATAGAAGAACACTTTCGAGGAAATATCAACGATGCACTTAAAAATTCTTTCCCTCGTAAGATCACCTTGAGCTGGCAATGTAAGTTTAGAATGATGCATTAAGGAGGCATCATGGATGACCCTATTAAAGTCAAAATAGAAATATTAGTTCAAAATTTGAAAAAAAGACAAGCAACAAGAAAACTAATGCAAATGATTAAAACCTGATAATGAATAGTAAAAGAACCTGATAATGAATGCCAATTTTCCCCATTTTAGAGCTCATTCTTTCACAGTGCTATTGCTTGAAGCTATTAATTGCCTGCTTTTAATTGAATGTGTGGCATGCAGTAAAAACAAAAGAGCATCATGCTTACGGAAAATGCGCTCTGAAATCGTAAGAACTGAAATTAATTATTATCTGCATAAAGCAACATGAGAAAGTAACTGTGGGATGTAAAAAGACTGGAGGTGGAAGATGAGGACGACGATAAATTTTTCCTGTGTTAAATCAGATATTTTCTTCTTCATCCGTAAATATTTGTCCGCCTTTGTGCGCCCCGGGAAGAACACCCCCTCACGAATTGTTGAGTGATTGAATAATGATGCTCACACAAAGGCCTGCGCAGAACGCCGTTATCAGAAATTAAAACCAAATTATGGAAGCAAACGATCTAATAAGAAATGAATATTGCTGTAATAAATGTAAACACAGAAAAAGAGCGGAACTGATAAACCTAGAAGCAAAGGCCACAATTCTGAAAAATCATAATACAAGGCAACCACATGTACCCAGATTACCACCTATAAACCAATATAATCAAACTTATACATAGATAACCTAACTCATGTACGTGTTTGAAAATCGGATTCCCAGAGAAAACAATGCAAAATTGAAAAACAAAATAATTAATTTATTAATATGATACACTTAAACCTAATAAAAAAAATTCAAAAGTATCAAGCTGTACTAAATAAACAAGCATCATTTTTTGATACAGAAGAGAACATGGAATCATAAAGCACAGCTGAATTCTAATATGTTTTACCAGACTACGTAAAATGAGGTTAACTTATTAATATGATCAGCACACGAGACCCCACAAGCAGATCTGCAATGAAAGCGTTAACATTTATTAGTTGGAATGCCAGTCGAGAGAATCGTAGCATAAATTAAACAATCGATAGCAGACCTCATTTGATTAAAGGTAAAAAGAAAAATTGTGCAAACGAAACACAAACCATAAATTCAGCTACAGAGGTTTGCTGCACATTTGCTTGTTTGTTTGGGATGACAGCACCTATGTGATAAACTTTAGTTTAACCCTCTCCCCCCACTCCGTACTCGTTCAAACTCTGGAAATCATCCTCCATTTCCGTCCCGTTGAAGAACAACGTCATCCACCGCATTGGCGTTCCCTCCACTATGAGGATCTTCTCCTTCAGGCTCCTGACGTCGACGTCGATTTGGATCTTTCTTGCCGAGAAGAACTGCCCCAATTTTCCTTTTCCACTTTCTTAAATTATGGATGGTACTCAGTAGTGGGGTAGACCTGACCACCGGTTCGGTTAGAACCGGAACCGGAACCGGAACCGAACCGGGGTCAACGGTTTTAGAACCGAACCGGAACCGAAAAAACCGGTTCGGTTCCGGTTCCTCATTTTTGGAACCGGGAACCGACGGTTAGACGTTTGAACCGGTTTTTAAAAAAAAAAATATATATTAATTTTTTTTCTCTCTCTATATATGTATGTCTGTGTATATATATTTATATCTATATATATAATTAGGGCTGGGACTGGGTTGGTTTTTATCCACCAACCGACCCATTACCGACCATATTTTTAGGCGGATAATTATTTTTTAACCGATCCATTGGATCGGGTCGAAAATTTCAACCAACCCATCTATAATGGGTCGGTTGGTGGTTTCTAATATTATCAAAAGTTGGTTGACCGATAATTATCGGTTATCCAACTATACAATTAAAATTTTATTAAAAATATAAAACAAAGGCTATGTTTTCTTGAGTGATTTTTGAAATTATCAAAATTATTAGTATTTCAAATTTTAAAACAATGAATAAAGGAAAAAAATTTGACCTAAATCTTCAACTAGTTTCTTTATGCCCAATCTTAAATAAAAAGCCTGTAAAACTCCATTAAATATTTTGTGCATGTTTGAAATTACTTTGAATTTCCTAATTATATTTTTTCGTTAAATTGTTATTGATTATTTTGAACTGATAAATGATGATCGCACCGTGGCATTACGCAAAACGTGGATATTTTTACTCCAAAATTTGAATTTTTTTAAGTGAACTAGGCGGCGGGTATAAACCATCAACCGACCCATTCCGGAACCAAATATTCGGTTGCCATCCACCAACCGACCCACAAAGGTTGGGTCGGCAACGGTTTTTAAATTTGAGCAAAAATGGTTTGACGGATGGGTCGGTTTTTAGGCTGGTAATCGACCGACCCAACCCAGTCCCAGCCCTATATATAATATCTCTCTCTCTATATATATATATATATATATATATATATTACAAACCTATAAAGATGTAGTGCTCTGATGAATAGTGTCCATGTAATTACTTTTGATTTTTTTTTCACACAAAAGAGCCCTAAACGACGCCGTTTTTATTGAACATTTCCAGCCCAAACCTTTGCCGTAATTTACTTTCGATTTAAATTTATTGCTGTATTTATGGTCGGACCAAAATTAGTGGGGCCCTTCTATTTTTCGTGTTCTTTAATATCATCACCACTCGCACTCACGCGCTATACCCTTCAAATTTCACTTAATTTTTCTTGTGCTTTTTTTTTTTTTCAGTTTTCACACGAAACGACGCCGTTTTATATGAAACGAATAAATCAGCATAAATTCCCTTGCCTTTTCACTTTCACCGGCCGCCCATAATTTCTGCTTTCCTGCAGCTTTTCTATCATGTCATCTCACGCGGCTTTTCAATCATGTCATCTCACTATTGAGTATTGACGTTTGTGCAAGAGGCTAATATTTTTTTTTCTCCCCATTTCACTTCGTTCTTGCTGCCTCTTTCTTGTTCATCTGTTTTTTCTCCCCATTTCACTTTTCTCTCTAGAAAATGTAAAACTGGATTTTATTGTTGTTATTATTTTTCTCACTTTTTGTAAATACTTGGTTTCTGCTAGAGCTGCCTTTGTTTTTGTTTTATTTTAGGTCCAAATTTTATGCCTTTGGTTTCGATTTTCCATTTTGACCGCCTTCGCTTTTTTGCAGGTTATTGGTGATGATCTTCAAAATGCTAATGGAAGATTTTCCCGGAAAGTTAGCTTTCTCTTTCTTTGATTACATATATGTATGTTTATTTTTTTTGTGACTGATCTCAGTTTTTTCTTTTGGTTTCGTATGAATCCGGTTTGGTGCCTTTGTTTCGATTTTCTCTTCATCCAATTTGTTTTCGTACCTTTGTTTTTGTCAGGTTCCTGCCATCCTTTATAATAATTTTCGGAAATGCTAGAGAAAGCAATTTTCTTTTCGCAAGATGAGTTATAGGTATATTTCTCTCTTTTTTCTTGTTTCTTAATGTATTTGTGCGTATATGTATCTGTATATATATTATGCAACGAATTTGGTTTTGTATATTCTGGTTAAGTGAATTTAATTTGCTTATGTATTTAGTTAATATGCTGATGTGTAGTTTAATCCTTTGTGATTATCTGATGCCTTGGTATTATGAAGAGAGTATATTTTTTTAAAGATCATTTAAACAATTCTTCCGTATCAATTTTAATCTTTGGTATACTTCATTAACTTCTTTGTGAAAGTTGAAGAGTTATATTTCAATACTATTGCTTGTGTGTTTGAATTTTATTTTTTATTATTTATTTTTCAGCATACGTGGACAAAACATGATTTTGTTTTGGAGTATACATGAACAAAACTTTATCTTGTTTTGATAGCCTTCTCTGAGAAAGGGTGTACTTAGATTTCCTAGGTGTTTGTTCCCATTGCAGGTCTTCCACTTTATTTTCACCAATGTTTGTGTCATCTCAAGGTTAATAATTTGTTTTTCTTCTACTGTGTTTATATTAATTATTTGGTTTGTGTGGGTGGAAATTTTGTTGAAATTGCGTAGCTCTTGTCACATAAATGGCTACATCTGCACATAGTACAAAAAGAATGAACTATTTAACGGAGTCTTTCAACATTTCACTTGATGGATCCCAATGCACGAATCTTATGTGTTTCGTGCACTTCTTTTTCCATTAGTCTTGTTTAGCTATTCATTTTAGTGTGATATTTGTGTATATCTTCATAATTTTTGTTCCTTATTTTTTTCTTGCACTTCTTTCTTGATTAATCTTGTTTAGCTATTCATTTTGGTGAGATATTTGTGTTTTGTAGTTTGAGTCATAGAATTTTGTGTTTTTCTTTCTTGAGTATCGGATGTTTTGTTTTTCATGTCCATTCTTTTTTTGTGTATTAATGGATGGAAACGCTTTGAGTGCAGGTATGTATGCTCTTATGGTAGGATGTTCGGCTGATGAGTTCTTCCTTCCGCCTCCGTCAACCCTCTCACTATGTCTCCTGCCTCCCGTCCAAATCAGGTAAAACACGTATAATGAAAGGTTGTAGTGGTGTTTCTAGGTATCACCCCTGTATTTGGATCTCAGTTGTTATGGAATAATTTTTTTTTTTTGTGGTGCTATGAGTATTTTAATTTTTTTTTCGTGTTGTTTTACTCTTCTTTTTTTACCTGCATGTATAAATATCCGCTTCCGAATCCTTGACTAAATTATTTCTCAAAATTCACGTTCGAAACAGTTGTTATATGGTTAACTTTTTTTGGTTTTTTTTTACAAGGGTCTTCAAACTTGGTTTTGCAGAAGTTTCAATCAGCTCAAGCACATTCACAAGTATGTCAGTGATCTGTATCTGCTCAAAACCCAATTAGATAGAAATATGTGTTTTTGCTTCATTAGCTCATTTTGCCTTCTGTTAGACGTTTGCTGCTGATATGCTTGGAAATGCTAATAGAGACCACTTCGTGCTTACTCGGGCATGATGACCTATGCGTATATTTCACTCCCTTTTTATTGATACTATCTGTTATATGTATATATTTGGATATGTAATGCTATCTGAAATATGTAGCTTGAGTTCCTATGTAGCTGAGTTAGTTTGGTTGCTGATGTGCATGTCTTTGACAACATATTGGTGGAACTCTTTAGAAGTTAGATTAAAATGCTGAATTTTTAATTTATCTTGTAGTAATATGTTTCTTATTCTTTTATAAATCATTTTGCCATTGGCAATTGTACTTGTATTAGTCAGTAATGTTTCTTTCTTTACACTTGTTATATGGAGTCATGTAATGTGATCTATATTGGGCATTAAGTACCGCGTGTGACGCGGTGTGATTCCCCTAGTATATATATATATATATATATATATATATATATATATATATATATATATATATATTTAAGTATTAAGAAAAAAAATTTACGAACTTAAAAAAAAAAATTATTTTTAAATATAAACACTTTAAAAAAAACTATTTTTAAAAGTTTTTTTTTTTAAGTTTTTTTTAAGTTATATATATATATATAATAAAAAAAATATTATTAAGAACCGAACGGTTCTAACCGGGAACCGAACCGAAACCGAACCGGAAAGGAACCGGATTTTTTCGGTTCGGTTCCGGTTCCTCCAAAATCGGAACCGGAACCGGAACCGGAACCAAACCGAACCGTGGCCGGGTCTAGTGGGGGGCCTTGGTCGGCGTCTCATGTCACATGACGTCTGCACCAATTTTTTATTTTATTTTCTCTCCACTCCTCTTCTTTCGCCCAAACGCTTATGTTTTTCTTTTTCTTTTTTTTTTCGTTTTCTCCACAGGAGAGAGAGAAACGACTCACCCAATCCGACGAAGCCGCGACCCCTCTCTGTTAAATCCTCCACACCACCCCCGCCGACCGTCGACCATCGAAAAGAGCTCGCACGGGCATAGTCGGTGAGATTCTGCCCGCCGTTCCTCCCCCAGGGCTGTGGTCTGTGCGTGACGCTTTCCGGCGCTAGCCCATCGAGTTTTCCACCACTCCCCAAATTTTCCCCTTGTTTCTGTTTGTAATTCCTCTAGATTAGAATCTGTTATTTTTTCCGCTTTTGTGCGTTGCATATTCCTGTCCATTACCTGCGATTGGATCGGTAATAGGGGTTTAATTTTGTGCTGTTTATTCGTCGTCTTTGCTTCTTTTTCCTTGATGGTTCTCGAATATTTCTATTGCAACTCATTCGGAAACAAACGATTCTGCAGATCGATTTCTCTCTCCTCCTTGCCTCGGCTATGTGAATCCAGTGTGCATCTTATTAATTTATACAATGCAAAAATAATGCCCTCCGCCCCTAATGAATCTCCGGCCCAAACTCAGATCGCCCCTCTCTATCCCGTCTCCACCCACATCACCACTGCCATACAGCAGTAAAAGCGTACTTACGAAAATGCCCCGTAAATCTCTACTAAGACCCACTCTTGTCCTCGCCTTCCTCTCCCTGTTTGCCCTATACTCCTTCTTCTTCTACAATCCTCCCAATTATAACACTAATACGTCAATTAATTTAGACAATCGCAGTTTTCGTTCTGTTGATGATAATAAGAAGGTGAAAATATACATGTATGATCTGCCTAGGAGATTTACATACGGGGTGATTGAGAGTTATGCGGAGGCGCGTGGAGGAGAAACCGTGGGGAACGACGCGCTGCTCAAGTATCCTGGGAATCAGCACTCAGCCGAGTGGTATTTATTTTCCGATTTGAATCGTCCCGGTGACCAACGAATCGACTCGGCTCTGACTCGGGTCATGGACCCGGAAGAAGCCGACCTTTTCTACGTGCCCTTTTTCTCTTCATTGAGTCTCGTCGCCAATCCGATCCGATCAGCCACTGTGAACGTCTCTCCTAACAGGACAGTTTACAATGATGAGCAAACCCAGGTATTTGTAAAATTTAAATTGTTTACTTATACAAAGTTATCATACCAAGGGTTGTCTTGAACCAAATATTGTTTGCTAAAATCTATGATCTTTAGGTTATTTATATTTGATAATATGCCAAGGAACAACTTTGCCCACTGATTCATTCATAGTTCTGTATTAGAAATGCTCTTGAACTCTACTGGATCATTTATTGTGTTCGCTTATTTTGACTGACATTCTCTATGCAAGAAGCAAAATATTTCATCCAAGTCTGTGGTTGATGTAGGAGGCTTTGATGGAGTGGTTGGAAGAACAAGTGTATTGGAAGAGAAATAATGGGTGGGATCATGTATTTATATGTCAGGATCCTAATGCTTTGTATAAGATCATTGATAGGGCGAAGAATGGGGTGCTATTAGTTTCAGATTTTGGGAGGTTGGGTGCCAATCAAGCATCCCTAGTGAAGGATGTGATTCTACCATATTCACATCGAATTAATTCATACAAAGGAGAGATTGGCCTGGAAAATCGCAAGTCCCTCTTGTTCTTTATGGGAAATCGATACCGAAAAGAGGTAATATTCAGACTTTTCTTTTCCGTTGATGGTATGCATAGCATGGTAATATTTGGACTTTTCTTTTTGCCGAACCCTGTTCTATGTCACCATTTACATGGAGCTGTTTTAATTGTGGTGTACAGGGTGGTAAGATTAGAGATATGCTTTTCCAAGTTCTTGAGAACGAACAAGAAGTTATTATAAAACACGGGGCACAGTCTAGGGAGAGTCGCCGTATGGCATCACAAGGAATGCATACATCAAAGTTTTGTTTGCATCCAGCTGGCGACACTCCATCAGCTTGCCGGCTTTTTGACGCTATTGTAAGTTTATGTGTTCCTGTAATTGTGAGCGACTACATTGAGTTGCCTTTTGAAGATGCCATAGACTATAGAAAGATAGCCATTTTCCTCGACACCTACACTGCTGTTAAACCTGGAAGCTTGGTAAAATTGCTGAGAAAAGTGACTCCGGAGAGGATTTTGGAATTCCAAAAGGAATTGAAAAAGGTACATTTTCTGTACGTATAATTGACTTAAGTTTGAATTGAGTATTATTATCCAAATTCGTTTTTTGGTGCAATTCATTCAGGTAAAGAGGTACTTTGAGTACGAAGAAGCAAATGGGACAGTGAAAGAGATATGGCGCCAAGTTTCACTAAAGCTGCCTCTTATTAAACTTATGAGTAACCGCGACAAACGGATTGTGCTGCGGGACTTGACACAGCCAGATTGTTCATGTCTCTGTTCAAACCAGTCGGGAGTACACACAACACTATGATATTTGCCTTTAGAGTTTAATTTTCTTTTTGTAGACTAGAATATTTGTATTTGCCTCGAGATAATGTGCAACGTTTCTTTATACATATTCATTATCATTTATCAACAATATCTGGGAATCGGCTAATACAGTATGGATGCATGTAGATGGTTATACTTGCTAGCCCAGCTGGTTTTGTGATGCAAGTATAATTGAGTTGTACATAGAAAATCAGCTACAATATGCACTTGTACGTTAGTTCCAGTTATAACTTCAGAAAAGATATCCAATCATCTGCTGGTTGGTTGATTTATGGGGCATAAATAAGAATATGAGATATATGATATATTATAAAAGCAAAACTATATTCCGATTAAACTTTAATATCTTAATTAATATCTTAAAGGTTTAATGTGAATAGTTTTATATATAAGGATGATTCATGATGATACACTGTATTTTACCAATTATTTCTTCAAAAGGTGTGTATCAAGAAATAACAACTGCCTAAAAAAACAAGTCTCAGAACAGAAGGATAAACCTCGAGTTAACTTGTATCTTAACCTGGTGGCCATTTCATCTGTCTCCCTCCAAGTACATGTAAGTGAAGATGGTAAACAGATTGACCTACACACAGAGACAGTAATTGTGGATTAGACTGGAATGTTTTTCTTGTTTGTTTCTGTAACTTGAGTTGTAAAAATAAGAGAGAGAACTTACAAGCAGACGGGCCACTGTTAATAACAACACGAAAGCCCTCGGTGATGCCTTCTTTCTCTGCCACTATGTTAGCAGCATAAAGAAGACGACCCAATATCTCTTCATGTCTCTTTTCAGCCTACAAAGCATCACAGCACAATTAAAGCTGAACCACTAAACCTTGTTAAAATTTCTGTAAAGTCGTTTCATTCACCTCAAGAACGTTATGCATTAGGGACTGCTATAGCCTAACATAAGAATACAAGGAAAAGACAGTACCTTGCCAAGCTCGGTCAGACCATCTCGTGACTTTGGAATGACAAGAACATGAACTGGAGCTTTTGGGCTTATATCTCGAAAAGCAAGAACTGCCTCATCCTCATATACAATGTTTGCAGGGATCTCTTTTGATATAATCTTGTCAAATCTAGAACAAAAATGAAGTCGACGGTGAAAAAAAGAAGAAGAAACAATATAAGGCAACAATCTAAAACAGGAAAAAATATCTCAACTAAAGCTTTTCTTTATAGCTGAAATTTTGGTCGGACTTTTAGGAAAAGAAGATGAAAACATAATTAATCAGCGGGTGTAAGAGGTTCGAACATTGTTGGTGCCCCAGTATCAGCATTGACTGCGGCAGCTTTCGCAGCAGCTTCTTCATCGCTTGTAGCACTTGCAGACGACAAAACTCTGAAAGAAGCACAATTGTAAGATGCTAAGTACATGACGTGTGTATGTGAATGAGGCGTACAATCATTGTGTGAATGAGCCATACAGTCATGATGAATGTGTATGTAAATGAATTATGAATCATATATATATATAAAGTTTGGAATTCTGGAGAATCAATTGTAGGTGTAAACATTGTCTTGAAATACGTAATTTATCAAGAACATAGTAATAAGTATGATAACCATTCTACTCTAACCATTTCCTGCTCCTCAAATTTCATGACTTACATTAACATATGATACTCTTTTCTTTACATGAAATTTATTTCAGCATCAATTTATCGTCGCTTATCTTATATAAAAATAAAAATAAAAATAAAAAAATCTAAAGTTTGGAATTCTGGAGAATCAATTGTAGGTGTAAACATTGTCTTGAAATACGTAATTTATCAAGAACATAGTAATAAGTATGATAACCATTCTACTCTAACCATTTCCTGCTCCTCAAATTTCATGACTTACATTAACATATGATACTCTTTTCTTTACATGAAATTTATTCAACGACGCCGTTTATCAGTTCAATTGAATTCCAGAAAATGATCAGAATCTAAACTGAAAGAGGCATAGCAAAGATTTATAATTAGGAAGGAAAAAAGGAAAGCACCGTAACGGAGAGAGCAAATTCATGGCCGCCACACTCAGTCACAGATGGAAGAAATCTAGAAGGTCCGACCCGGTTTTCTGCTCTATGGGTAGTAGTCACGTAAGGAAACTGAAAAGGGGTATAATGTAAAAGGTCAAATTT